GTTTTGGTCCGAAATAAATGGTATTATTATTATTATTATTATTATTATTAAGGATAGTTCGCTGGGATCTCTCAAGTTCCAACATACGCGTCCTTGGTATTCCGCCCCACGCGCAATAATAATAGAAAAAAAACGAGTCAAAAAGGTCCATGACTCAGCATTTGAGGACTATGCTAATTACATAGCCCTCGCTGATATTCCCCTGTCATAGAAATAGAACACCACAATAACAAAAATGTAACTAAATAAATACTAACACAATCAGACAGTAAATTTAATTAACAGTAAAAAAATTGACACATACAACATTTACATATGAAAATAATCATCTTGAATAATAAGAACAATAATAGTAAATTTAAATTCCACAACAGCTGTTGCGTAAAACCCACACCCCGAGATTGCTTTTCAGACATATGTTCAAAATATATGTTCTTCCTAGAGCTCAAACATTTGACTCATAAGAAATGACGTTCTACTTAACCCATCTGACTATAAATTATTCCAGAAACCTGCTTAAACGCCTCTAGTCATCGAAAAAGTTCTGAATAACGCCAGATAGTTCTCAGAAACGTTCGCGTGTGCCGGAAGCCTCAGAAAGGGTCAAGTAGCTTACTTCGGGCAAGGTGCTCGATTACCACGCAATACAATATTAATGAAGCATGCCATTCACGCCACAAAAGGGCTTGCAACGATTTGTTTTATGGATTTTATGGGGTGAAGGTAATTTGTACTGATTTGTAGTTCGTTTACATAATTGTTAGGGGAAGTGTTTTGACGAAAACAAACTAAGAAGCAAACAAATGAATTGTGTAAAAAAGACTCGGGATCATTAATAATTTAAAATGCTGTTAAGGGATATCCACAAAGCATTGTTGAGCCGGAGAACTTTAAGTTTCACTGTTTTCCTTAGCTGTGTTAAGCCTTGATAACAGCAAAACCTTCAGATAATATACCAAAATCAGATTTAAACGACTTAACTTTGATCATTAAATCATTTTCATTTTTTTTTTCAAAGATACCAACGTTTTGGGCTTTTTACGGACCAGGGTCACGGCTTACGGACATGGTACAAAATAATAGTTTCATTTCCAATAATAATAAAATAATGCACGCAGATGGAAGATGATGAAGTGGGCTTTCATATAAATACACACCATACTACATTTACTTGCTTTCGGTAACTAATTGTGGTTAAAGCCAGTCAACAAGTCGAGCAACAAAAGAATGATACTTTATTTAGTGTGTTTTTTTATAATATCAATTGACGGGACTAACAAGTCGTGCGCCTGATGGTAAGCTACGCGCCTGTCCATAACAGTTGCAGTGCCACTCAGCTCTTTAAATCGCAAAGATCTGAGGCGTACTGCCACTGTGTCCGTCACCTTGACACATAAGTTGACAAGCCCCATGTGCCTGTAATTTCACCAGCACCCTTACCCTTCAAAACCGAAACACAGTAATGCTGACATTACTTGCTTGGCGGCAGAAATAGATAAGGTCTATCTAACTCTGTTCGTGGAAATGGCGAACTTGAAATGGATATATACTTTTTTATGATAAAGTAAGGGCATTTGAGCTCCCTCAGAAAGTGGCGATGAGGTCAACGATGTAGCATGCGTACATAAACAATACTTTGAAAAAGCGATAGTGAATAGGCGGGGTTTTTTCCAGTCAGGATTATTTCCTATAAAAAAGCCTTAGACTTTGCTACTTATTTAATTAAGACTATATTCTACTGATTAATATGAACAGGAGAGATAATGTAGGAAATCTTTATAAACATACCTGCCATTCCTGGAGCGGCTGTAGTTACTATCGTCGTCTCTTGCCCAGTTCTTGACGAGAGCTGGCAAGCCGACTGAGCTGGTGCCCCTCACAAGACCAGCTCCTGGCTGCTCCGTGCTTCGCGTCTTTCTCGTCCGAACCTCTTTACCTGTTGAAGAGGTTTGATATACGGAAAAAGTTAAATAAAAGGAGTATAAGTTTAGTTATATCAACTAAAACGTAATGAAAACAAAACCAATGCCTTTAATATAGATTCCCTATATTAAAGGCACTGAAAAGCCTCCACTCCAACTATGATGGATGCCTTATTATTTATTATTTACTTATTATTGCAGAGATAGGAACAAGCAGGGTATGTTTATCTTAACTTTGAGAAATTATTATAGGTCAAGTGAAAATACCTCACTCTGCAATTATGTAATTAAAATATTTTATTTCTTGTTCTACATATTTTATGTATAACTAGCAATTACGTTACTACAGTGGTGTATTTAGAAGAAACATTTTGTAATATTATACATATAAACTACATTCATTTTACTTTTTAACCGACTTCAAAAAAGGATGAGAATCCCAATTCGACTGTATTTTTTTGTGTGTATGTTTTGCAATTATTCCGGTATTTGTGAACCGATTTTGATGATTTTTTTTGTTGGAAAGAGGGGTACCTCCGTATTGGTCCTATTTAAATTTGAAGAAAATATTCCACCTCAAAGAGTGGAAAAGTACGGGACGAATTTGGTTTCGCGCACTTTCCGTTAACCGACGCCAATAAAACTTGGCAAAAACGTAATTCCAATAAAAAAGCCGTCGATATAGTTGGTGGAATAAGCAAGTTGATGTGGCAGTGGGCCGGCCGTATCTGTCGATGAACCGATAACCACACGGGGGAAGCGAATTCTTGAGTGGAGACCACGGCTTGGCAAACGTAGCATAGAACTGACTCTGGCCAGATGGAGCGACGATCGAAAAGCAAACTTTTGTGTTCGGTTTTTTTTTAATAAAAAAAGCTATAATTATTACCTTTTATTTCTATTCATTCCGAGATTTTAGAGGGAGGTATTATTCGCTGTACGTGCATGTGTAACTCTTGAAGTTAGTACTCGGCGAGTACCTTGCGCCGGTTGGCAAACCCTTTCTCCACCATGGCAAACATATTCCATGTACAGGTTTGCATGGCGGCTACTTATGGCGTGATCAGCGTGGCTAAGTTTTGGGCCGCGATAAGATAATGTATGCCATTGATACGATAAGAAGATTTGAAGTTAAGGTAATTGGGTTGGGCCATTGGGCATTGGGCCAGCGTGGCGGATTATGGCCTTAACTCTCGCCAGGGAGGAGACCCGTACCGAGCTATGGGACGTATAAAATGGTATCTACTAACTAACTAACTATCTACTAACTATCAGATCACAAACAACAATCCATTTAAAAATGGTGAAACTTTATAGGTGGAGTACATTGACATACATTGGTCAATGGTAGAGTACCATTATGGCTGCGAAACGTAGACAATGACGAAAAGGTACCTACAGGGAATACTGAGAAACTATAAAATGTGGTATTAGAGATGAATAGAAAGAATAGCTGGACAGAGAAAATGACTTATGCCTCAATTTTTTCATTCCAACAAGAATGAAAGCAGAAACACTTAAACATTGTTAAAGCCCGAGATAGAAGTTTTGTGGGTCTTATACGACTTGTGACTTCATTAAATACTTGATCAAAGGAAAAGTCAAGGGTGAACAAGGGAAACTGATAGCAAGTAACAACGAACCATTCAAAAGAATAGGCCACGTCATACAGAATGATAAAAGAAAAAGCGTTACAGAGGGATATCGACAAAATACTATCTCCTAAATCTAAGAGAAAGATTCGGTTCGGCGGCGGTTAGCACACTTCGATCTTCCAAAGGGGAACCAGTGGGATCGGGGGGTCTGTTGCGTACAAATAAGTGCTGGAGAATGGAGTAGCATCGCCAATTTCCGTGGAGAGCCTGCAAGAGCGATCGCAGACGAGGTTGCGGAAGAAGGCAACCGCGATTCCCGGGACCTCGTGTCTGCGTGGTGAGGAACCGACATAACCACTCGACCCCCCGGTCCGAGTGGTATCCATAATGGAGTTCCCCTAGACTAAAAAAACGTCTTTTCCTCCTAGAGTCCTTAAGTATCTTTCAACACGTTACAGCTTTTATCATCATTAGTGTTTAACGTTGTGAACTTGCAAAATGGCAACCTTCTATAGATGCATTTTTATCGATAGGGCACAATTAATTTAGCTGGTAAGTTACTTTTAATTCATAGAAGACAATACGTTCAGACCGGGAACAAAATTAATATTACTTGGTATATCTGGTAGGGAAAGATTCTTACATGGCCACCGGTGGTAGGTACATCATCGTCCCGTCAACCAAAAAATGTATTGGGGCGGTGTGCGCCACCGGTGGACACAACGAAATTATGTTTCTCTTCCTAATTAACGTATTATCTTAAGTAAACTATTATTTTTCCAAATCTGACTGTTTTAATACAATTCATCAGAAATAATTTGCTATGTTTAATCTCTTTTTTCTATAAGTACATCTCTATATTTTTTTCCAAAGAAATATTTTTTTAACCATGTTTTTTTTTACTGTCTTACACAATATCAAAATTCCTGATCTACACTATGAAAATTTGAGTGTTGCACATGACGGAAACGTTAAATTTAGCACCTTCTCTCAAGGCCACAAGGGTTTCTTAGTATACCAAATGTCAGTGTTTTATGATCACCGGTGGTACACCACGCCTGATGGACCAGCTGTCCGGTGGTCCACGACGGTCTGAACGTTTATACTCAAGTCCTGACTTGAGTATTGAGTAGAGTTCTGGAATACGACCCTTAGGGCGATTGGTAAATCTTTTCATCACGATGACAAGCATTATAAGTTTATGCTATCGATACGATAAGAAGAATTTAGCCCTATGAATCGTAACTGTGTTACATAAGCAAACAAAAACCAGCTTTGTCTTTTGCTATTTTCTTCCATAAAAGCAAAATTTCACTGCAGCCATTCTATAACATTCCAGCATATTTCGTGCACAATCGCATCAAACGCCCACCGTCACGAGGTCCCTGCATGCATTGTGCAATATGACATCAGTGTCAATACATTATCACCAGATTGTAATCGCAATAATTGTCGTTTGTGCCATGACCAATGCTGTCACAGAAAGTTGCAGAAAAGATATCATTTTGCGCAGTATTTTTGTATTATTAACACGTCACTGCTTTTAAAAATGCTGATCTAAACCTAAATAGTTAATTTTGTGGCTTAATGTTGTATTCAGATATCAAGGATAATAACTATGATAACAATGTGATATATTAGATAGATATGAGTACATAGTCCAGGGAAATAGTTGTCATATGTACTCTGGTACTACCAGAGCAACGGACTTCACACTGGGGCACAACACCCAAACCAGAACTAACTTAGCAAAGTTCATTTCTCCAATTGCTCCTACCGGGAATCGAGCCCGGGACATCATCATCATCCAGCGCCCACAATGTAAACCGCTAGGACACCAATGGGTCAATCAATGGGTTAGTTTAGGATTTTTTGGTTTTGCGCTCTAGACGCGATCAGTTTGATGTAACTGTGTTTTCATCTTTCTGGTGAATTACGTGTTTTTGAAGTAGGCCGATATTATAGAAAGCCATAGATACATCGATTTATCTTGAAGAAAAGTTTAACTCTTCAAGTACAGTTCAAACGTGATCCGTCAAACTCGAACGGAGTCTAAAGGAAACAAAGGTTCATAAACATTTAATGTGCATAATGTGCTACAAATTTCTTAGGGTTGATAGTGAATAGTACACACATGACGCTGCCTCTATGCAATAACACAGCATTATAGAATTTTATGATTTTGAACTAAGCTACCGGCAAGAACGTGGACGCTTTATCCACGATAAAGTTTCGCTTGCCCTATTCTGTGGTATGGGTTTGTGGTGTTATAGAGAATGTAAACGATTTTTACCGTTCCTCGTGGTAGCAGCAAGAGACTCAGCTGACTTGGAAATGCTCCTACTCAAGGCTGTCGGCGGTGCCTTCATCGGAGTGTTCTGCCGGTGGTGGTACACCATGTCTAAGTTTAACGGTTGCAGCAATTGAAGGTTCTTCAATGACATTACTCAATGTTGGCATCTTCAACTGTCTTTTTTGCTATGCAATATATTTTGTCACATTTTATAAATTAGGAGCAACATAAATATGTCATATACATGAATGTAATTTCATCTTTTATTTTACGTTTCAACAAGCGAATCATTATTTATCACCAATGCGAGCGATACAACAGAAAACAAAAACTTTTAAACTTTCACCTCTATGTGTTTAACTAGACAATGTCGTTAATATAAATTCAAGCTTATATCAGTTATCGAAATTTATATTTATAAAATAGTAAAATCCTAGCACATAATAGCTGTCAAATCGTCGATGCTTTCACAATAATCGATCAATTTTTATCAAGCACACTTGTTTCCGTATGTAAAATTATCATGAATATTATTCAATTTTATTCAATCACAGGAACATTTGATTACCGACAAAGTCATGGGCACGGTATTTTAATTGAATGTTTTTTATTGGCGCGAAAAGATAATGGCGGGAATAATACTTTAAAGATGACGGACGTTAACCGTTGACGCGCGCGAAGCACAGACTGAATAGTTTTCAGGCAGGGGTTGTTAACGGCATACAGAGGTTTTTCAAGTTTATTATAATGGTGGCCGGCGTGGGGGTGTAAATGTCGTTCGATAAATACCAGTGCAATGTTAACACTGGTATTAAGTGTAATGGAATTTCTATGTTTGAAATAGTTAGAATGAAAGTCCAAGAACTGCGAATTATTTCTAAGGTAATATTCTGTTTATATGAGTTGTTTGAAGAATGGGATCAAGTTTGTAAAATGGTGTAACAAACAGGTTTTTTTTAATCTGAAAATATTACTGTTATAGATAGATGGTGTTCAAGATTCTTAAATACAGTTTATGTCCGGCATGACGTCAGGGGTATCTCTATTTTGTTCTTACTGCATCATAGTGCAATTTTAGCGGGCATAACAAAATCAAGTTCAATTGTTTTAAGCCGTATTTTGAAATATTTCTTTTTGTGTTACCAAGTGACGGGACGAATAAGTCGTGCGCCTGGTGGAAGGCGACACGCCTGTCGGAAGGCACTGCCATGCTGTCTCATGTGTCTGTAATTTCACCAGCACCCTTCAAAACCGAAACAGCAGTACTTTCCTGGACGAACTCTTTCACAAGAAGCTCTACTGCTATTATATTAGGCCACTCACGAGTTTTCACGACTTTAAAAACCCTCACTATGCAACGATTGCATATAATATAACACTATTAATTGATATGTCCAATAGTAATGTTTCTATAAAAATATTTGTGTACTATTTAATTGTTAAGTTTCGTTATAGAACATTTACTGTCATGTTAATTTGCAATTGTAATTTTTATATTTAATTAACATTGAATTATTAATTTAAAATAAAGTAAAAGATCGTGGAAAGATTATTTTCGCACGCATGGCGATAGTGGAGCCACCTTAATCAGAGATGTTTTGAAAAGGTTCAGTGGCGCGGACTGGCATTCTATTCCTTATTTTAGTAAAAAAATAATAATTGTGCGTAATCATATCTATCATAGAGAGTAAAATGTAAAAATAACGAATAATAAATGCATAAGTAAGTAATTAAAACTTGGACATTTCATTTATTACACTTTTTTTTGGACTCGGAGACAGTCTCATTCAGAAAAGTTTTGATTTTGTACTATAGGAGCCACTGAGTGTGTCTGTGTCAAATAACCCGTGCTGTCCAGAGTATATTGAAATTTATACAGGATACTAGATATAATGGTGATTGTTTTGTATTGCATTTGTATAGCGAAGTATCCCCCTGGACACAAGACGAGGTCAACAACCTGTTCCCCCGCGATACCCATTGATTGCCCTCCATTATTAATGTGTTAAAACAATTTCCCACTCCACAGTTGTATTATTTTTGTTGCTTAATTTCAGTCTGTTTTTGTAGGAAACTTTTTAAAACATAATATTTATTATAATTATAGAAACACACAGAAAAAATTCCTTCGATCCGGCTGGATTCGAACCGACGTCTTCTAGCATACCGTGGCAGATGCTATACCAACTAAGCCACGGAACGAACCAGCAGACCTCACGAATTTTTCTATGTGTTTGTTGTCGTGTCTGTGTATTTGGTTTTTCAACGGCTTTTTAGCCGGCTTAAGTTATGTACTATCGCCGTCTTCAGCTGTCAAATTTGACCTCTTATTTGGTGACGACTATAACAAATAATAAATAGATAAATATTAGACAATATCACATACGTTGCTCTGGTTCCAAAGTAAGTAGCTAAAGCACTTGTGTTATAGTAATCGAAAACAACGATGGTACCACAAATACCCAGCCCCGAGACAATTATAGGAAAGTTAGTTTGTACACTGACCCGGTCGCGTATATGGCTTCCCGTATACAGTACGTCCCCCAAGGAGAGACGACTTCGGTACGCTTTTCTACGGGTCTAAACAACTGAAATACCGTAAATAAATACATACAGTAATGATATGGCAAAATAGTTTTCAAACAAATTAAATTACATTTCGTCCCTATTTCTGGTTATATGTATATATATATACGCGACCCGGCCGGGAATCAAACGGGACCTCAGAGATGGCGCCACCAGGAAAACCGGTGTGCAAGCCACTCGACCATGGAAGCCGTCAAATATTTATTGTTAAAATATCTTTCAGCCCCGCTACTATGTATATACTTTAAAATATCACTTGAGTTCTATATACATACATCTCACCTTGGGTGTACTAAGGCCACATCTGCAAAATGATAACTTTTCAAGAGAGACGTTTAAAGATTATACAATTTATTTATTTATTTATTTATTTATTTATTTATTTCTTGGCACAGCTACAGAATACAAATTAATATAAATATTGATAATATTAGATATGATAATATATAATAGAAAGTAAATTTGCACTCCTATAACAGCTGTGCACAGCTCTATCATATAGTCTACATAGTGGCACACTTTAAGGTAAAAAGAAAATAAAAAGCCTAAATAAAATTACATGATTGGCAGCGACTATGTCATGAGTCATCAAACATAAATGCAATCACATATCAATACAATATAACAAAATTATTACAAAATTATCGGCTCCAAAATATACTGTTGTTTACACCACTTTAAGATTGCAAAATTTTCAGATAGCAACATTTTACAAAAGCTGAACAACTTTGAAAATATATATCTAAACTTCTGTCTTTGTTAATGTCATTGTAAACTCGACACACTCGATACAAAGGGTCATTATAGGTAACATTGTTATTGCAACATGGCACATAAAACAATTTTTGTATTCTTTAGTTCCTATCTTCAAAGAGAATTGGCTTAACAATTCGCATGCGTCCCATTTTGCGTTTACTATTTTATACATAGTTACGAGATCGTTAACAACGCGTCGTGACTGCAGCGTACACAGACCAAAATGCTTCAACCTATCCTCATATGTGGGCAACTTACGTCTCATACCGAACTTGCAGCTTAAGTGTCGAAGGAAACGTTTCTGGATAGCTTCAATCCTGTCAATGTGAATATTGTAGAAAGGAGACCACACAACTGAACCGTATTCCAACACACACCTAACCAAAGCGTAATATAGTAATATTATGCTCTCCGGCCTCCTAAACGGCTTTGTCGTTCTAAAAATGAATCCAAGTGTTTTATTTACCTTGGCAATAAGATAATCATAATGAGGACTAAAACTCAATTTAGGATCCAGTATAACCCCGAGATCCCTTACTGTTGATTGACGAACCAATACAATTCCATCGATACTATACGGGTAAGTTATTGGTGTCCTTTTCTTCGTAAAAGTAATTAGATGACACTTTTCTATGTTCAACGACATATTGTTAATGATGCACCATTATTGTAAGCGGTCTACATTGGTTTGTAATAAGGCACAGTCAGTAATACTCAATATTTCATGATAGATCTTTAGATCGTCGGCATAGGCGATACAATTACAAGTGATGGATTCCAACAGATCATTAATAAACACCACGAAAAGTAAAGGACCCAAATTTGATCCTTGGCGGATTCCAGAAACCAATTTTACAGGAATTGAGTTATAGCCATACACCGCGACCAACTGAGTGCGATTTGCGAGGTATGACTGGAACCATCTCAAAAGGTTGCCAATTCCGAGATGAAGCATTTTCTGGCAGAGGATACTGTGATCTACCCTGTCAAATGCCTTCGAAAAATCTGTGTACAACGAGTCCACTTGCACCCGTTTATTAAAAGCATTATTTAAGAAATGAACATACGTTAAAAGATTTGTGGATGTGGAGCGTCCCTTCATAAAACCATGCTGCCTCTCACTGATAATGGGCTTGAAGTAATGATAAAGATGACTATATATTAAACCTTCGAATATTTTACTAAAACAGCATAGAATGCTTACTGGGCGATATTTTTTTATATCTGTCTTACACCCAGACTTATGTATTGGGACAATTTTTGTTATTTTCCAACTTTTGGGGAAATATCCTCCCCTAAGACTTTTATTAAATAGTACCACCAGCGGCTTCACCAATACATGTACACAATTTTTTACTAATATAGCCGGAATACCATCGGGACCTGCGCCCTTAGATATGTCCAATGCTTCTATAGCTGATTTAACCTCCAACTCAGTAATAGTAAGATTGGACAGATAGAAATTTGATTCGGGGAAATCTGGGGCGTATGCACCAGAAGAGGATACATTGTACGCCGAAGAAAAATAACTGGCAAAAAGATTAGCTATGTCGGTACCATTATCTGCCGATTGGAATTGTAATACATTTGACGTGGCACGTCATTTGTCGCTTTTTTTTACTTTAGATATTTCCAAAACGACCTTACACGCACAATTAGTGCGTGAAAGAGTTCTTTTTGCGATTTAAAGCTCTGAGTGGCACTGTAACTGCTAAGTCGTGTTACTTACCACCAGACGCACGGGACGAACAAGTGTCCCGTCAC